TCAAATCTATCTGCAGGATTCCGCCTCGGACTGCTCAGTGACACTTTATTAGCAACTGTCCTATTTATGAACCATGTTTTTTCTTTCCCAGCTGAATAACTTGGACTACAGTAGCAGCGTATGACAGGCACAGATTTGTGATGGTATCAATTAGTGGGGTGGCAGGGAAATAGTCCACAAAATCTACTGAAAGTTTATTGACTGTCTGCTGTTTGCCAGAACCCGTGATTCTCTGGAGATCATCTTTTTAGTTTAAGAGAGGGTTACTGGATTCTAACTTGGGAGAGGGAAGTTTTATTAACACTTCTTTGCAATTGAGAATATGGACGTTTTTTTCCATTTGCCTATTTTGCAGACTGTCTTAGGCAACTGAGACATGTGCATCCCTGGGGCTCTGGGTGAGTCTCTGGGGTGGTCCTCGCCCAGGCCAGAGCGGTAATGTCAGAGCTCTGTGTGAGTCTCTGTGGTTTTACTAAGACAACCCCAGGCCTACTGTTATAGCAAAGCCTTTAAATGTCTACGTGTACACATCCAAGTGCACTGCCCATCATTTTCCATGTCTAACAATAACAACACTTGCTCATTTTGGAGCCCCCAAACAAAACATCCAGCAGCCACCCACCTATGTGGAGTATAGTCATTTCATAAACTGTCTTCTTCATCCATTTTCATTATCTTAATATCAGCCTCTTTTCTCAGACAGTCATTTAAAGCCAAAAAAAGAAAACAGAATTCTCCACTTCCACGAGGACTGGGTTACTGTCCTGGAAGCCTGTATCTAATATCTGTAATACTTATTAATACTCCATTTATCCTGGTAGAGGAGGAGTGAAAACCCTAAGGAGAGAGGGTGTGACTTAAGTCTATATAAAAGAAGTAGCTAAATCGTCTTTGTACCCATTATGGGCTGGAATGAATACTGTTTAAACAAGTTCGTTGCGTATTGCATTGGAGAAAAAAATACTCTTTCAGAGGAGATGGTCAGATTGCTAGGCTGGAGAAAAGGTAACTTTTGAGTGTTATATCCTCTATAGTTTCAGCCCCATTGTGAGACCTACTATTGCAAAATCAAAATAAACACCTGCTCCCTGGAAACTATTTGTAAGGCTGGCAGACCTCAGGCGATGGTGCTGGATGGGAATCGTATTTGAAACAACACAGCTCCACATTTCCTTAGATTCGGTTGTGTTGAAATGTGGTAAATAACTTTATGGGTATACAAAACTGGAAATTTTCAAGCATTCATCAAACTTAACTACATTGATCATGGTAGTTATTGACCTCTATTTTGATCTGTTTTCTATCAGAAAGCAAATTAAGAGATACTTTTATGGTGTTGCTTAGTTTGGGTGTAAGGAGAAGACCTTGACCTTGGAGGCCGTGCTACTGCCAGTGACAGAGCTGGGCTGAGAACTCCGGGCCCCTCCTACTAAACTCAGTGCCTCTTTGATCCTGCTGTATTTCCTTCACTTGTTCTCAGAGGCGTCTGTGGCACATTTTCCAATTTCTCAGTACTACGTCCCCATCTTCGAACCATCCCTACTCAGAGAAGTGGAGGACACCCTGGCAGAGCCCCAGGCGCCCGTCCCTGACTGTCAGCATTGGCGTTCTTCACTGTGTGCCTCTGTGAGGCAGAGCTGCAGCTCCAGCTTTGCACACAGGGGCCCATCCCTGAGGAGCTAGACTTGCCTGTCTGCAGCCCAGCAAGTTTGACAGGGAAAGCTGACATGCCTTCTAAGTCTTGAGCCACTGTAACCTCTTTTTCTCCCTGTCGGAGTCTAGAACAGTTACTTACGTGTTACAGAGTAAGTAGAAATGGGATGTATGCAGAGACTCAGGGTTGGGGTTAAGGGGCAAAGAGTTATTAGGATAAGGGGGAGAATGAACAGGGAGGCCACAGGGAGGTGATGGGCAACAGACAGCAAAGTTAAGGGAAGGAGGTGACCAGATAGCTCCCTTCTCCTAACTACCTCACAAAGCCTGGAGAATGGAGATGTGAGAGAGTGGAACACAGACAGACAGAGAAGACACGAATGCTTTTCATGTGTGATTTATTATTTTAGGCTTTCTCATTTTCTTCTTTCAATTAAAGTGTATAATCCTGAAATCTCTGCAAACCTCATTCGGATGGTATGAAATAATTGGGTTCCCAGTGTGGGGATAAAGACGTTTTAATCTACTGTAAAGGCCGAATATCTCCTCCAATGACAAGCCCTTTGAGAAATACATGTGTGACTAATGTCCAGTTATAAACACTACTTCTGCAATTACACTTCGAAATTCCTCAGAGTCAAAAGAATCTATTCTGCTTATTTTCCTTCTCTGAAAACGACCCAAAAGTTGGGACATAACTTTCTATAAACATTTAGCAGATAGTATTCAAAAGCAGCTCTCATCCATAGGAGACTTAGAAAACAATACTATCATAAAACCAGTAGCAAAAAAGGAGAACTAGAGTCCTGGATTTGTTTCTTTTTTTTGCCATTTTTTGGCTCATCAAAGGATGAGGATCAGGGCATAATCATGTTTAAGCAGAATCGTAATTAACTGTGGAAGTTCTGCCCAAGTTCACGGTTTCTCCTTTTCTCCAATTTAATTCTCCCTAATTGTAGTTTTAAAAATACAGGAAACAGCCCTTTCGGGAGGGAGACAGGATAAGAGTTTCCAAAAAGTTGGGATTTACTGAAGTACTGGGACACTTGGGTAAGCATTCACACATTTATTGGTGGCAGGCCAACTTGAGTAATAAAATATAGATGCCATTGCTTATTAGACGTTTCACAGGTGGATAACATAACATTCTGTAATTTTCTATACACTTTAGAAAATAGTCTCTGTTTTATCTTGGTCTTTGGTTGAAATGTGGGCTAAAAAAATGAAAAGGATTCTTACAATTTTGCTCGTGATTTTTCCTTGTCACATGGTTTTAAACACAATGGTGGAGGGTTGCTTGGTTCAGTTCCCAGCAGGTTTAACTAAGGAGTGGTTTTCGACATTTATGCTGAAGGAACAGCTGACTCGTTATTACCTAGAAAGAGTTAAGTAGTTGCCGATGTCAACACGATGACATTTTTCTTCTTCAGCCACATGAAAGCTCAATATATTCTATTCATTGCTCTAGTGGACTTTAAAGAATCACTTTCAAAGGACACCACGGCTGAAGACGAAGAACAATATTTATCAACGTTAAATAAACACTTGGTGAAGGATCCATAAATATTTCTTCATATAAACATAACACAAAATTAAATAGTTCGGATACACAGACACAACGGAGGACACGTCCACGTTGTCAAAGTCACCTGTAAACACCACCTCACACTGAATACAGAAGCAGCGTCCCCCCCAGCCCTGGGGTCACGACACGGATGCCCTGTACAAAGGGAAGGTTTCTGCACTGCCCGCCCACCTCCCTCCCCTCCCCCTTCCCATAGAGCCCCAGCAGAAGGAAAAAAAAAAAAGAACCCCAACAACTACAGCAGCAAGAACAACGACAACAACAACAGCACCCCAGCCCCTCCCCGGAATAAAACATTAAATGTTTTGGTCGATACAAAGGATAACGCAAAAGCATTTTTTTTTTTTTTTTTTTTTTTTGCAAAATGCAAAGGAATCAGTTTGAAGCATTTCCTTTCAAAGTGTAATTCTCTCCTCAGAGGACATATTAAAATACTTCCTAAACCCTACCTGTTTCTGGGGGAAGGTTATGCAATCATCCCCAGAAAGCACTGGCCACAGCTAAGTGACAAAGGAGTAAGCCCTAATTCACCTTTAGAAGGTGCCAGGTAGCAAGAATTTGAATGCACTGTTCTTCATTCTTCCTCCCAATTTTTTGGCTTTGCCATATGCCATATGTATACACACACATACGTGTATATATAGCTGTATAAAGACATTCAAAGGTGACACTAGGATTGAGTTCCAAGCAGTTTACAGAGCAGAAATTTAGTTTTGAAACATTCATGATTGAATTCAAACGTGGGGGTGTGGCTCATTAGTGGAGCTCAGAGGGGCCCTGATTTAGCTCTGGCAAGAGAGACCGTCAAAGAGACTGCCGGCACTCAACGTCTGGCCACGCCCTGCTGCAACGTCTGGCCACGCCCTGCTGCAACGTCTGGCCACGCCCTGCTGCAATGTCTGGCCACGCCCAGCCGCCTGTGGGCTCTGCACAGACCTGCTGAGAGGGGCTCCCAGCTGTTCTCCCCCAATATTCTTCAAGGGTAGTTTGTGGAGAGCAGCCTTGGTTTCTAAATCATTAAACTGGGCTCATTTCACTTTTAACTTGTGTTAGGATCCTAGAGAACTTCAGGTACCAAAGTACTGAAAGCAAATATTGCAGGAATAATTGGCCAGTTCAGTGTTTCCCATAATATTATGTACAGTGTGTGAGTGTGTGTGTGTGTGTGCGCGTGTGTGTGTGGAACTCACACGTATATATATACTTAGTCTTTTTATTTGTACGAAACTTGAACTGCACAAAACAATACTTTGCAAGAATCAAGTCCACAAATAGAGTTTAACGACACATCAAAGAGAAGACAGGAAGCTCTATTGCGACAAGAAGATTCAGCTTTGCAAGGTACGAAATAATTTCAGAACTGCAGATTTGCTAGCCTGCTGTGTCCCACGTGGGGTCTGATCAACAATTTGGGGATCCTTGGTTAGAACGTGGCAAAAGGACCAGCCATGTTCTCCTCTGAGATTCCAAAGCTAATGGGACTTAAAAGACCCAGGCTAATCAATTTGGGTGTATAATTGCTGTGAAGCAATTTTTTTTTCTTTTTACGAGAAAAAACACTTAAAGTCTATTTCAGAATAAATTTCTTTATATTCAGTAGTATGTCCTTTTTTTTTTGTTTTTTTTTTTGCTGAATTGGTATTTGTCTTTTCATATTAAAATGGGTTTACTCCATGGATCAGTAAACAGGCAGCTTCTTTCAAATCTGGGTGATAAAAACATCGGTATCATCACCAGAAATCACTACCTCCCTCCCTGCCTTCCTTTCCTCCTCCTCCTCCTAAGGTTTGTGGGTTGAAGTGTGCGCTTTGTCACTGCTACTGATAAGCCCCATTCTACAAGGCCTGCTCGGGCACACGCTTGTGGAAAATGACCGACTGTCTCTGCTGGTACTGCTGCTTACGCCTCTTCTTTTTGTCACACTGGCAGAGAAGCAGCATTTTGAAAGTGGTTCTGAAAGTTTTGTTGCACAGGGCATAGCACACGGGGTTCACGGTGCTGTTGATGTAGCACAGCCAGTAGCCCAGATTCCAAAAGGCCTTGGGTATGCAACTGTCACAAAAGGTGTTCACCAGAACCATGATGTTGTAGGGGGTCCAGGTGATGATGAAGGCCAGCAAGATGGCGCTGAGGGTCTGGGCCGCCTTCTTCTCCTTGATCAGAGACATCCTTTTCCGCTTAGTGATCTGACTTCTGGTCTTGAGCGCGAACCTCTTGGCCAGAGTGGCTTCCTTGAAGGACAGAGGGAGAGCGGCCGTGGTCTTCCCCACTGAGGAGTTGACATCAGAAGTCTTGGCTGTGTCCATGGCTGACTCTAGCTGGATTGGAAGCTTGGAGAAGCTTTTGGGAAAGCTGCCTCCATCGTCCATGCTCTTCTGGGCCTGCAGCTTGTTGTTTTTTTCCTCCAAGTCCACCATGCCCAGCTCTTCCTCTGGCACCTGCAGGTTGTCCGATGAGGGCAATTTGGTGGAGTTGAGGATGGTGCTGTGACCCGGAAGCTTGAGCACAATGGAGTAGATGGCTCTCGTCTCTGAGCCAATGTCCTCCTCGTCGGAGGAGGCGGAGTTCTCCAGGGAGGCAGCGGCATCATTGTTGTCCCAGCTGTCGCTGCTGCTGTGGTCTCGGTCTACCTGCTCGGCGCTGGGCTTCCAGCTTTTGGTCGTGAGCCAGAAGTGGCAGCGGCCGTGCTTCCTCCTTGTGGAGCGTTTCACGCTTTGCTGTTGAAGTTCATAGCTGCTGCAGCTTCGAGAACTGCCTGTGGGGTGGACAAAGTTCTCTGCTTCTGCTTCTGTCCCAGAGGCCTGCAGCCCAGCCAGCTCTTTGGTACGTTTCTCCGTTTCCTTATAGATCCTCCAGTATAAAATGGTCATAATGGTGACAGGCATATAAAAAGCAGCAATGGCTGTGCCGAACGTAATGGTGGGCTCGGTGAGGAACTGGATGAAACACTCCCCGGGGGGCACAGTCCTCTTCCCTACAAAGTACTGCCAGAACAGGATGGCGGGAGCCCAGAGGACAAAGGAGATGACCCATGCCAGACCAATCATCACGCCAGCTCTTTTTGTTGTTCGTTTGGCTCGGTAGGTGAGTGGCCTCGTGATGGAAAAGTACCTGTCAAAGCTAATGACCAGAAGATTCATGACAGAGGCATTGCTGGCCACATAGTCAATGGCAAGCCAGAGGTCACAGGCCAAGTTCCCCAAAGCCCACCGGTTCATGATGATATAGGTAGTAAACAGATTCATGGAAATGACCCCGATGATCAGGTCAGCACAGGCCAGGCTCAAGAGGAAGTAGTTGTTGACAGTCTTTAGCTGCTTGTTGACCTTGAATGACACTATGACTAGGATGTTGCCGATGATGGTCACCAAGGCCAGGAAGCCCGTTAAGAAAGCAATGAAGACCACTTGCCAGACAGTATGACCTCCCAGAGGGTCACTGTCGGTACCGTTTGGAGAGGAGAAATTCCCAGCTGCTCGAGAGACATTGTAGCTGCCAAGATGAGTGACGGTTCCCGGGGGCAGCCCTGCATCCGAGGGGCCGTGTATCCAGGGAGAGCTGATGTTTGGAAACAAAGGCGAGGTTGTATTGTTATCGTGCAAGGTCATCGTGACTCTCTGACATAGTCTGGAGAATAAGAGAGAGAAAAGGTGGGAGTTAGAAAAACGTGGCATCACATACATTAAAAGACTTGGAATGCTCAATCCCCAAAGAAGCCAAACATTTTATTGTTCATTCTGTTCTTTTAAAAGGAAGGAGTCCAAAGGCAGGCACAGATGGACTTGCTGGAGACAGGATACTTTGTTAATGGCGTGCATGGAGCAGCGTGATTTTGTCCACATTTTCCACATTTGTAAATATATTCCAAGTAGGACTATTATCAAACAAAATCACCCTTACTTCTAGTTTCTAAAGGGGGACTATATTAGACGCTTACATGACACTTATTTAATATAGCTTTATTATCATGCCCCTTGATAAATTAACTTGATTTATTTGCATTTATCCACCTGGGCATCTTTCTATCTGAGACTTCAAATCTAAGTAATTTTATGATTTAAGCCTCCCTCGAATGAGCCAGGCCAACCCAGACCAAGGGAGCAAATAAGTATAAATCAACCTATATTATATCATCTTTTAAAAAATGGATTGAAAAATAATGTATCATTCCTTGTCATAATCGGTACCATGACTACCTTTTGTTTGATAACATGAGGAAGAACTTTTGCCAGTATGTTTTGAATGGACCAAGCCAGTTTTGACTGTTTCTAGTATTTAGATGTTTTAATTCCAATAATGAAAAAGTATTTTAGCACATAACACGCATAAATCATTGCAAAAGTGCATTCAGTACTTTCAAACACTTACTAACAAAGTATATAAACAGCTAAGAACCATTACAATGAAGGTGTCAGCAGTAAGACCCTCATAGAGTTGTTGCCCGCCTTGGTTGTGACCTGTGCCATCCTCCCCAAACCTCCAGGGATATATTGGGACACCACTGAGTCAGGAATTCTCACATCACCAACCACTGTGGACTAGATCCAAGAAATCATTCCTTAATGAGTGTCAATTTATGCATTGAAAGTTTGGTCATCATAGCAAAAATCCACTTCTGTTATATTTATGCTTTTGGTTAAAAACATCTTCAAGTAGGCCAGACATGGTGACGCATGCCAGTAATCCCAGGTACTTTGGAGGCTGAGGCAGGAGGATCGCTTAAGCCTAGGAATTAGAGGCTGCAGTGAGCTGTGCTGGTGCCACTTCACTCCAACCTGAGTGGCAGAGTGAGACCCTGCCTCTGAGGAAAAAGAAAAAGTTTTCAACTATAAACGTTTATTGCAAGAGTCCTAAAATCAATCCTTACGGTATTACGTGCCCAGAGCATCTCAGAAGGGTGCTGTCTGATTCAACAGAGACTTCTGGAAATGCTTTCTATGGAGGAGGAAAGACTGTGGAGTAGGAAACAGTGAGGTACCAATCTCATTGGGGGGGCCTTAGATATTGTTTAATTTCCCTGAATCCTATTTTTCTCATTGAAAAACGGGAATTACAATTTTCTGCATGATGGAATAAATTGTTGATAAATGCCTCCTGGAATGCAATAATAAGTTTTCCAAGAAGCCTTGTTTCTCTTCAAAATGCTTGTCTAGAAGGTACTTAGAGCAGGGCCTGGCACGGAGTAAGCGCTGTATGTATGTAAGTATCTGCCATGATTATCTTCTTCTTTTTACTGAACAATGAACTCACTTTGGCTTTGGCTGTCAGGAGAGGCTCAGAGATAAAATCAGCGCAGTTAGTAAATGTCAACAGAAAATATTTATTGGACGTTTGCTATGTGGTACCCATTGTATCACAGGGATTATCTCATTTAATCTTTACAATAATCACATTTTATAGGGAAGGATAACACAGAACGTAACTTGGTTTAGTGCTTGAGCTAATGCATAAGTGTGTGTGGGGGGGAAGCAGAGTGTCACACCCAGACACTCCAGACCCACAGCCACCACGTCTGGTTGTGACGTGATACTTCTCCTGCACAAGCTCCTTCCAGGTGTCCTGTAGGGCTAGCCTCTCCCACGAGGTTCAGAGTCATCATACACCTCCTTAAAGCGGCATTGATGTGCCTTTAAAAACACACGAGATATTCTTTGCCACCTAAAAAGTTGGCAAGAATGCAAATGATTTGATCCATCCGGTGTTGACACTAGCGTGAGGTTAATTGGTTTTCGTGGTTTGAAGGTTACAATGTAAATGGGGCAATTGTTTGGAAGGCAAGGAGGCTTTATCTGTAAAATATAAATATGCCAAAGTCTGTATGTGAGTGTACCGCATGCGTATAAATAATAACTGTAGACTTAGGCAGAGACACGTTCACATACACACTCAGGCACACACAGTCCTCTCTGAAATGACACAAAACTGGAAAGTCTTAGTATTCTCATATAATACTTGAAGACAGAGAATAATAGTTTAAAATATTCTGTATAATCCATCACTGTGTTTTATACATGAAATCCACACGGCCTCTACTGCACTGATTTCTGATTGTAAGGAATTGGTGGGCTCTGTCCCCCTTCCTTCTTTGGGGTATAGTTAAGAGCTGTCAGATCACCTTGATCTCCAGTTCTTCCTCACTAAAGGACCCCTGCATTTTTGAGTGTGGCGTGTAGTTTGGTTTCTTCCAAGATGGGGATGTAGAAGATCTGGCTGCTTGCTCTGTCCCCACTCAGATCCTAGGTGTTTGCCTGGTCATCTCTCCATTGAACCTCCAACTCTGTAGATGGACCAGAACAGGTAGCCAAGGACAATGCCCTGTCTCTGAGGTTAGTAACTACTGTTATTTCTGGTCTCCTGTGGCGTCTACGATGCCCTCCAGCCTGCATGTCTGTAGAGGCACTTTGGTGATATTCAGATTATACCCATGTGTGCATTTCTCCCTTTGCAGCCCCAGTCCCGTGCTCATTTTTTATATACACTCTGAAAAGGCTTCCTCCCACCAATATCCCTTTCACTCCCAAGATTCCTGGACGCAGCACCTGGATTTCCTCATCTGTTGCTGAGATGATGTTTTTGCCATCCTCCCTCTGCCACCCTCAGCCCTCTGAATCTCACAGAAACTTCTACAGCACCTTTTAAAACTCAATCATTCAGTATATGTGCACCATGGAATACTATTCAGCCTAAAAAAATACGGAGACTTTACATCTTCTGTATTAACCTAGATGGAGTTGGAACACATTCTTCTCAGTAAAGTATCCAAAGGACTTCATACCAATACAAAGCCAGTAGATGAACTAATACATGCCCACACAAGAGAAAATCTCAGTTCAACTCAAAAATAGAAGGAGGAGGGGGGAGCAGGAGGGGGATCAATGTGCTCTCACCCAATGGGCGTAATTTAAGGCTACAGGACACACCTCTTGCGTGCGGGGCAGAAATACAATAATGACTTTACCTAACAAATGCAAAGATTGTAACTTAATCATTTATACCCTCATGTTAATCTGAAATTTAAAAATAGAGTATTTGGAAAGCCCTAGGGCAAAGGCAGGTCAAAACATTCTGAAAGAACACGGAAGGAATTGTTCTATCATTCATAAAGACTTACTGTAAAGAAAAAGTCGTGAAAAGTGTTTTTATTTTGACATTACGGTAAACTAATAAATTAATGGGATAGAACAGGGAACTCAACATAACATATACCCTTACAGATGCTAGATTTATGAGCAAGGTCGTGATAAAGGATACCTATAGTAAAATAATAAGAAATAACAACAACCTCTTAGCTCTTCAAACACGCTGTAAATCTCCGCTTTCTTGTCCCATGGGGGGAACTGGTCATGTTCTGAAGCCTCATTTTCTTAATCACAGGTTGATTTTATTAGAAGTAAATATATATAATGCCCATTAAACCCAATGCTTCATCTATATGCTGTCATCTTTCCGTATTCCTTTTTTCCTTCTTTCCTTTCTTCCTTTCTATTTATTTATTTATTTTATTTTGCTCGCCCAAGTCATGCAGTGGTGTCTGTTATCTGTCTTTCCTTCAGCTGGGAATGCCTGTCGATGACAGTACGCATTTTGAGATCAGAATCAATGACGTGATCCTGACTCCCCTGCCACCGTAGTGGATCTGAGGAAGACCCCAGCAGGAGGGCCAGTCTGGAGAGTTGATATGGAAGCTGAAATGAGAGTGAGGACTCTGGTATGATTAGGCGCTGGTCACCCTGTCTGTAACTGAGAAGTAAGCAAACATGGAGGAAAGGCATAGGGAGGGAGAGAGATGGGAAGGTGTACAGGAAACAGACTGCACCATGGTATTATGTCCATTGAAACCTGGATCTAGCCATACCTGAAGGCATCACCATGTCCTTGACCTTGCTGGTTTGGGAAGCCCACGTATTTCTTTTGTTGCCTGGACTACTTGAGAAAATTTCTGTTACCTGCAGCTGAAAGGGTCTCGATTAACACATCCTGCCACCATCAACACCAACACATGCTTATTAAACCACCTCCAGCTTTAAGATGATTGGAGCTGTGGAATTCAATCAGGCACAGGCTCTGCTCTCTGAGAACTCCCCCCAGGTGAGAGAGCGGGAGTGCATAAAATATTTTACAAAGCACAGAGTCACTTAGACAATACCAAATTGCTCCCTGTGAATAACCACGTTGTATTTATACAAATTAAATAACAACCCAATTTGTTCAGTTAACCTATACTAAGAATATAAGTAAGAATTTTCAAGGTTAACCTAAGGTCAACTATTTTCTTTTAGTTTGTTTCATCCTGTGAGTCTGTAGGGCACCACAAAAATGAATAGTCTCCTAGTCCAGTTGTGTTTGGTCGGAATATAGAAAAAAAAAGAAGCCAGAATTGAGGAAAGCCTTCCCCAGTTAAGTCTAGCTCTCTGTACCATGTTCATAATACACGTTCTGGGTGCTTCCGGATGAATCATTACAAACCCTTTGATCACCCAAAGTCAGCTGATCTTTGACGCATTTGCACTGATGTATCTACCAGCACCACCATCCCTCTTCTCATCCAACATTAACCCATCATCTAATGTCTTTTAGAATCTCTTGGAGATGTGTTTTTCCCTGACTTTAAAAAGTTCTCTTCTTTT